CACAAACAATATCTGGGAGGCTTCCAGCCCCTGGAAATGATGCATAAAAACCCACTGGCGTATGACTGTAGGAAAACTTGTTCCTTCTACCTGGGCAGCTGCCGGCAGGCGACTCAGTGTAATTTTACATCCAGTGTGTACTGGTGAGCAAAGCAGGAGGAGAGACTTCCCCCAGTCCCACCCCCAGCTGGATTCTGCCCTCCCCTGCCTTCCTCTGCCTGGTTCTCCCGTTGCCTCCGCACCCTCCTTGGAGCCCCTTTTGACACGACGTACGCCGGAGGCTCCTGGATGAGCAGGGATCCCCGCAGGGGTGGCGTGGCCCCCCATCCTTCCCGACATCCGACGTCTCTTCCTGTTCCCCGCGCTGGATCATGCAGTGTTTCCGAAGGCAGCCCAAGCGCAGCGTGTCCCAGGAAAACATCCTCCAGGAGCAGAGCCGTAGAGTGGCCGCGTTGAACGGCATGAGGCTGGGTAAGGGAGAAGTTGGCCAGACCCTCAGCGCTTCCACACGCTGGCAGCCGCTTCATTTCTGCCTCTTTTCCCTGCGCAGAGGCAGTGCTCCACCCTAAAGGCAACTCCAAGGTTATTTTTAAACTCCCGAGGTTTTTCTTCCTTTCCTTTGCCTGTAACCACCCGCCAGATGTGTAAACCGCTTCGTTTGAGGCATCAAAGAAAGTGGGACCTCTTTGGCAGATGGTTGGTTCCCAAATCTCTTGCTGGGCTTGCTGAACTATCGCTGGTCGAGGGTGTTTGGGGAAGGCAGTGCCCTTTTCCTGCCTGATTTTAGGACTTTTCCATGGTGCATTGTTAGTTGCTGTAAGAGCCCAAGGAACCACTTGGAGGTCTGTATTCAGCAGATGAAAAGAAAGAGGAAACCCAGGGAGTTTCATAACTTCTGTGTCTGGCTATGAACTCATTTCTGGTTCCTGCTCTCTAGAGATGCAGCCCAAGTGGATGCGAGTCGCTTGGTTTCCGTGGCTACAGAGGGCAGGTGGAAATGGAAAATCACTGTTTACCCACTGGAGTTCTTTGGAATTTATCAGAAAGGCGTTCTGCCCTTTTAAACTGGCAAACCTGAGTTATGTCTGATCTTAAACCAGGCAGGAGAGGGAGAGCAGGCAGGAGGTGGCTTGTTTTATAGGAGTTGTGATTAACGTGTTTGTATCAGATCAGCAGGTTTGCGAGTGAGCAATGCAGAACTGTGGAATATCTTCTGTAGACATCATTCTAACTACCTCCTTAGTGATCTCAAAGCCTGGCTTCTACCATGACAGCTGTTGTTTTATTGTGCTTCCTGCTTGCTGTAAACCTGAAATGGATAATACAAAGGTTAATATTTTGATATCTTAGTGTCTAAAGCTTTATAGTGCAGTATATTAACTTCATGGTTATTGCAGTGCTGTGTGTCCTTGAGGTGCTCCTACCTTTGCCAAACATGATTTTCACTCTGAGCATTATTGCACACTAAATATATTCTGTTTAGAAAGCGTGTGATGGATATTTTGCGAGGAAGGGGGCCTGACTCTCAAAATGCACTCTGCAGTTTTGCATGCCAAGTATGTATTTGGTATTTCACGGAGGATGCTAAGCAAGACACAGTGCTGCCACATGTTTCAGGCAGGATTTGGACATTTATTTCAGTGTGGTGATTGTGCTTCGCATGCCTAATGTTGTTATGTAGTTGGAAATGAATATCCTTGTCCTGCTGCACAGTGTTTTTCAATTTTTACATGATGTATGTTTATGATGACTCTGGTTTCTTTCATACAAGTTTCCATTGCTGTGAGATGGAGCTCTGGACCGCAAACCTCCTTAGCTCCATGGGGTTGTTAAACAGAAATCCTCAGGAGCTGGTTCGGGCATAAAACCTGAGATGAGGTTTCTGCTGGGAAAAGGTGTTTTTTTGTTTTATTTTTTTTTTCTGGAAAGCAGTTCAAATGACCAGCTGAGAGTGATGTCCCACTGGCACATCAGGGGTGTGTTTGTGGCTCCTGTACTGGCAGATCAGAGCATCTTCTGCTCCATCTCTGGCCTAACAAAGTGCTGGTGAATTGTAGATTGAAATAGCGAGGCTAAGTGACTCACCCAAGGTTATTTAAAGAGTCGGTGGCAGTGCTTGTACCAGGCATAGGTGGCAGGGTCCAAAACACCGGTCTTCTTTCCCAGCATGTTTATGTCTCTGAGTGTGAACTGCTGCTGGACAGGCACAGAGCAGGTCTGGACCAGGCTGTGCCCCCCCGGTTATGGGGATGGACCACCATTGGGTGGCTCAGTCAGTACTGGGGGTCACCACTGGCAGGGGTCTGCTCTGGGTGACTTCTCTCCAGCTGAACAGCCTCTCACATCTAAGGAATACAGAGGTGTTAGAGGTCCTTTTGCCCTTTCCTGGACAAACCTACTGTTTCCTAGAGGCAAGCTTGTCATAGTGGCCAAGGAGGGCTGGGAGGGCTGCTCCCAACCTATAGTTAGATCCTCTGAAGAGGAAGGCGAGTTTTGACCCATGCTTATATGACTGGCCTGTGCCGCTGAGCAGGATGAAGGGCTCTGAGCTCCAGCTTGTGTCTGACCTGTGTGGATCAAGCCTGGAGGAGAGGACTCTGCCTTTGACCACTGCCTGTGCCCATCCAGATTTGCCTGTATTGCATTGGTGCAGCAATTTGAGATGTCCAGGTAGCATGATACGTTACACACAACATGCCCCAGTTAACAGGGATTTCTCATTACACACTTATGCACATGGACATCCAAAGGAATTGGTGTTTCTTCTGCTTTCCTTCTCATGTCACCCTAGGATGGCATGTCCTCCTCCTAGTCCCACAATGATGCCTTGCATGGTTGGGATCTGAAGAAAAGGAGGGAATGAGGCTGCGAGCCAGAATGTTGTGGGTGAATAGAGAGAAGGAAGAGGTTTGTCTCCTCTCCAGGAACCTTGAGTGATGCCACAGAGACGTTAAGGTGGCCTAAGTCTGTGGCATTTTCTCTGCACTTGGAAGACCTTTGCCTTGGAGAGGAAGCCTTAACACCACAACTCAGGAGACCAAGGACCTGTGAAGCTGTTGTGGTGTCTGTCCTTCTTCTGGATGCTCTGGCCTCTTGTCAGCCCTTGGGTATGCTGGCACCTCAGCAAACCCAGGAAGATGTTCCAGATCCCGTAGCTGGGGTCAATCTTTCACCTTTATGTGCTTTGCAGGAGGTGGATTTTTTTTCTTCTCTTCCTGACTTTCTTTCTGAGTATGCTGTAGCATGGGAAGACACTTAATTAATGAGATAGCTAATTGAATGTAGAGAAAAGAGAGAGGCCACAGCCACCTTTTCAGGATCTCCAGCTCCCACTGTGACGCTTTCAACCCCAGATGTCTCAGCTCTGGGCATGCTCCTTGGCATCTGCAAAACCAGTAAAGTGGTGTGAGCAGCCCACTGAGTGGACACTGGACACCCCTAATATTTTTCTTTGATGGAAGTCTCATTTTTTCTTTGGCAACCTAAAATGCTCTCTTTAGGCCAATGTATCCCACCTACAAACACATGGTTCTGCTTTTTGCTGCTGCCACCGTGACCCTCCATGGTGGTCTGCAGCACCTGGCACTTCAGTTTCCTGTATGAATTGTCAGGAATCTGGGGTTTTGGCCACTCATATGCTGCATTTTGTTTTTCAAGCAGGCGCTGAAGTGACACTTGGTATTTTATTGCCTTGCTTTGTTCAAAAAGCAACAATTCAAGGCAGCTGTATCTAGCAGAGAAGAACAAACCTGATGTCACAGGGGAATGCCACATTGCAATATAAATGTTATTGCATAAATCACTTAACTTGGATTTCTGCTTTGTGAGACCCTGTGTTATGTTTACGTAGCATTGGGAAATTCCCCATGATGTGAGTGTCAGGTGTCTGCAGGTGGCCAAGTGGTTATCTGCACCGTCAAGATAAGGTTAGCAAAAATCCCAGTGAGCTGGGATGCGCTTGGTCAGTACTGCAGGGTTAAATGCTGGTTCACCAGCTTTGCACCAGCCTTTCATGCAATGTCAGAGATGCAAGGTGCCTATTACAGAAAGCCCAGGATGTGTTTCTCATGTTTCGTGCTCTCACCCTCCCCAGCCCACACACTCCAGATCTGTAATTAATGGTTGGTTTGAGGGACAGATCCTCCAAGGTATTTAGGTATGTGGAAGTCATATACTGCTGAGACATTCAAAACCCTGTAGAATGCCAAATTTATGTCTTCACAGTCTCAGTAGATGCCTGTTGCCTCTCTGGATGTCTAAGTACCTTCCTGAATCTAACCTAAGATGTGAAATCTGAAGTTTTTGGAACCAGAAGGTCTGGTTATTATTACTTGTCATTGTGGTGGCCTTGTAGGGTAAGAAAGATAAAGGTCCTCTCAGATACTAGCTGGGCAATGAGGAGAGCATGGTTGCTGCCTTATTGCTACCTTATTGATGTGATCCTGCCTGTCACCAAACTTATCTGTATATGTCCTAAGCTTCATGTCACTGATCTTCAAAATTCCCATGTGGATAGGAAGAGACTGCTTGCCCGGGAAGGAAGAGAGATATCTTTGTGTATTCCTGTTTCCACAAAGGAAATTTTTTGCAGAATAGATTTGAAATCACTTGAAAGTTCCCGACAGTACTCCAATTACAAGCTATACAGTTTTCTTTCCTCTGCTTTTACTGTTATGTTGTTGGTTTTGTTGTTGTTTTTGCATCCTAACATTAGACTGTGTTTGCTGGGAAGAAGATATTTTATGTTTGGAAACCACCTGAGAATTATAGTACAAAAGACTTTAGACTCAGTCTAAGGAATCTACAAGGCTCCATCCAGCCTCTTCTGTGAGCATAAAGTGTGGCAAGGCGTGTCTCTGGTGTCTCTGCTCTGCTGTCCTCCCCAGACCTGTCTGCACTGCAGTGGTCTATGTATGTCTGTGGTTAGTGTCCTGTGCATCCTAGTGACCCTATGTGCATCATTTCTTGACTCTTACATTACCACTACTGCTTCTTCGCAGGCCTGAAGGATGACAAGGATCTGAAGTTCCTCCTGAAAGGCAGCCAGCTGCTAAAAGTGAAGTCGGGCTCTTGGAGAAAGGAGCGGTTTTATAAGCTCCAGGAAGACTGCAAAACCATATGGCAGGAATCAAAGAAGATGCTGAGGTCTCCAGAGTCACAGATCTGTAAGTAAAGTTTGCTTCGTCATCAGCTTGGGGTGCTGTGGGCAGAGGTGCTTGGGGTGAACCAGGACCATTATGCTTGCGTCTTGGAGTAATGAGACCGGATCCTTCATACCTCCTGTAACACACAAACTGAGTGATGCCGTCAGCTCTGGAGGTGGCTGCCATGTCAGGAATGGCCACGTTTCCCAAGCTCGTGAGCTACTGCTTGAAATTGCTGTGGGGTGGGTGGTGCTGGTCTCAGCAGCCCTGCCTGGTTCATTTCCTCCCCAAAGCAAGAGTTCAGGTTACTCAGGTGCTGAGTCCTAGTGCTCGGTGTGAGACATGCCCTGAGCATCTATGGTGTGCTTGGGCTGTCGGTCTGGGCTCTGCTGGGACGCTTTTCTGCCTGCAGTCCCAGGGAAAGCTGGAATTTAAACCTCACAAGGGAGCCACAGAGTTATGGAGATCCAAGGGCTGGCAGGAGATCTCTCTGGGAAGGAAAGCCTGTTCTCATCCTTATCTTGGAAACTCAGAATCCACCCCATTGTAAAAAGTCCAGATACCACAGTAACCATTGTATAGACACAGGGAAAACCATTCTGTGCCAGCATCACCCATCACTTGGGGCTGTAATTGGGACCAGGAGCCCAATTGTGCAGTCAAACTGAGATCAGGCAGAGTGTGTATCTGTTTATATCTGGTTTTTCTTCTCATTTTGTATTTTTCTGACATATTTCTCTGTCACTAATCATCACAGTCTTGTAAAGCCAAATGAAGTAAATGAATAATATGAAATATATTTTATGGCATGTTGAAATGTAGAACGCGCTGCCCATGTTATTTACACTATTTTTTTGGTAACAATCACAACTAACTGAATGAAGAGTGGGTTTTCCAAATTACTCCCCATCCCACAAACAGTGGTAAGATTTTCAGTAAGAGTAAGGTAGCAGGGCAAAATACGTTTGGTTTGTAACCTTGACTGCCACACTTCTCATGGGACCTCGGGCAGCTCTTGGTGCATGCTTCCCCACACGTTTCCTTTCTCCTCCTCTATTTAGCTATAAAAGGCTTTGGGTTGGAGGCTGTCCCCTGTTGTGTTTGCATGCCCAGCATGGCAGGGTGCTGAGCTCACTTGGGCTGTTTAGGTACCACTGCAATAACCCCTGACAGCAACAAACGCAGAGACCTTGGGGAATGTTTGCTCCCCAGGAATGACTGCTCTGTTGAGCTCTGTCCCGTATAAAAGCAAAGTCCTTTCCCACATGATGTCTTGCCATAAAACAAATATGGACATGAGATGAATGACTTTCACAGCTTTCTTTCCTGTTCTTTGAGACAGCTGTTTCCAAATTATGGGGGCTGAGAGCACCTCCAGCAACAGTCCTGACCCCACCTGGTCCTCTGAAGTAAATGGGTGGGGGTCTTTGTGCTGTGGCTTCAGGGATCTTGGTGTCTGCTTGGAGAAGCGCCGGTTGAACCCATTGCCTCCATCGCTGGGGCAGTGGCACGGAGAGCTGGCGCAAGTGTAACTTTTTAATGTACTGAGCTGCAATAATAGCCCTGCAGCGAGATTAAATCCTTTGAGCTGGGTGTTGGGCATGGACTGGGAGTGTGCCTGCGTGGGTGTGGATTTACAGCCCTCAAAGATACTGTTTGCTAACTGGGTACAACCAATGTTGCCACACTGCTGGAGGCTGAGCCAGTGCCACTGCAGGAAGGAGAAGGTGCTGAGCCCTGGGAGTGTCCTCAGTGCAAAGTGAAGATGGAGTAACATTGCCTACCAACCCACACCCCCAGGTATGCTCCATAACACCTCTGTGCACGCACACCTTTCCCCAGAGCCAGATTCCTTTTTTTGTCATCAGGATAGCAGGAAAGGAGACCAGGCAGTCGGGGAGACCTTGTCCTTGCTGCTCTGAAAAAGTAAGCTGTGGCAGGGCTCTGGCTGGGCTGGTTTTGCACCCGTACACCCGGCTGGTTGTGAAAGCAAGGCTAGTGCCAGGCTGACCTAGCAAGTGTGGTAGAGTGGGCTGCATCCCACATGCTCCTGGGAGGATGGGAGGCTCTACCTGCAGCCGTGGCGCAAGCTTTTGGGAGGGTTGGAGGGCCACCTCGAGGCTGCTTTCAACAGGTGCTCTGGATGCACCTGAAACTGGAAGTCAACAAGAAAGATGAGTACTGGACTGATGCCTGCACAGTCCCATGCCATAACCTCAAGGACATCTATTTTCCCATGCTTTCTCCTCTGTTGGTCCTCTGAGATCTTCCATTCCCAAGTTCTCGCTGGGTCTGAGTTTCTGTCTTGAGCTTTTAACTTCACCAGGCTGCCATGGGTTTAGGTATAGGGAGGATGACCCCTGGTTAGTGTTGTTTTCTCTGGTGGGCTCTGTCACTGTGGCTGCCTTCTCATTTGGTCCAGTGTGTGTAGGCGGTCAAAAAGCAGAGGAAGAGTGCAGGGTCATGATTTGATACTCAAAATCAGGGACTTCAAGGTGGGTATCTCCAGAGGGTCACCCTTCCATGTTAACAGACAGTAACTTTGCCCTCCAGCACAAAGCCTTTCTAAAACTGCAGATAAGCTGCCTTTTTTAGGAAGGAAAAAGCATGGGCAGAATGGAAACTGGGAGGTTTTAGCAGCAGGTCTAATCTTATCGGCAGCATTGCTGAGAGCAAGCAGATGGAGGCACCTCAGAGGAGCAAAGCCTGGGCAGGGGAAGGGTTATGGTTTTGTTTGGACAATTTCCTGTTATTCCTGCTCCTGTTCTTATAATCCTGCAGAAAAGGTATTTGTAAACCATTGGGTGGTGGTGTCTAGCAGATAAAACTAGGGACTGCCAAGGCTAGACAGAAGAAAATTGGATGTTTCAAGTTAAAAAACCCAATTTATCAGGGTTGTCACAGGCACAGATGTTGCCTGGATTGGATACATGAGGTACAACCAGTACTTTCCTCAGGTGTCTTTATTTTAAACAACTGGAAATTTAGACTGGATGCTGTCTGGATAGCTGTATCACCCACAGGGCTTTTTGGGGGATAGGCTGTCATTCCAATATGGTTTCTATGCAAGTAGAACATAATCCATCTTTTCCTTACCATCCATAATCCATTATTTTTCAGTGTGTTCCATTTAGGCACAAGGGAACAGTTTTGTTTTTTTTTTTTGTTTTTTTTTTGTTTGTTTTGTTTTGTTTTTTTTCCAAAAGCCCTTGAAGCATCTGAAGTGGTCAGTTTTCCAACAAACATGTTATGACCTGTGCTTACTCTCTGCTCAACTTCCGCAGAAAGATAGGAATGCTGGGCATGAAGGGCTGCACAAAAGCACCTTTAAAAATCCATTTTTCACCATAGCCTGCTACATCCCGTGTCTGAGCTGCATACTGGTCTCATAAACACACAGCTGCTCTCTGTTATCTTAAATATTGTGTAGAGCCATGGTCAGAGTGGATGCTTCTTTGTCCTGTGAGGCTTTTACACATGACACAGCTTTCTTCCTGGGTTCAAGTGGCAGGATTAACAGTTTTGGGGCAAAGAAAAGGTTTGTGCAAGGGGGCTGGTAAACAGCCAGTTCAGTCAGAGGCAGTTCGATCCTGAGCATCACTGTGTGTTCAAAGAGCAGCAGCCTGGCAGTAACACTGTCGTGTTTAGCTGCGGTCAAATATCAGGTCTCATCTACCTGGAAAAAAAGAGCAAAAAGGCATGTGCTGCTTTCAGTGAAATCGATTTTTAAAAGTCTTTTCTCGAGCCAGCTGAAATCCCTAGCGTGAGCTCACTTAAGCCAGACTCAATCCCTTTAAAAACTCTCTGAACGTGGGGATTTGTAGGGATGGTTGAAAACTTTCCAGTGAAACATCCTTTGGAGTGTTTGGTGGAGGAAGAGAATGCTCAAAGCCAGAAAGAAAAGACTGAATGATCATTTTGATTTAGGGGTGCTAGAGTGGAGCCCCAGAGAAGCTGGTGCTTTGCTGCCTCCTGCTCCCTTTCTCTGCTGGAGGGTCAGGGAGATGACGTTTCCCATGACAGCCCTGAGTGAGCCTTTGCACAGAGCACCAAGGGTGACTCACTGGGGGTGTGTCGGTGAGTCACGACCAGTCAAGAAAGAAGTTTAGGAGTTTTGGATTAAATACTTCAATTTCTGGCCAAAAGCTTTACTTAAAAGCTACTATTGTTGGGGCTTTTTTCTTCTGTATTTTGATTAAAATTAGCAGTTTTGGGAGCAATTTACAGAGGTGAGCTAAATTCAGTTGCACAACTGAAAGTTGCAAGTGATGATTGTATTATTATTTAAAGTAACGAAGTTGATATTTTGATCTAATGGTTAATTATCCTTGCTATTAAAAATGCACAGAATTTCTTCCAGTTCCTCTGACTTCCAGCCCAATTATAGCATTTTTTTTGCATGTTTTAAACATGGTACAAAAGCTTTATGTTTATAGCCCACTACCAGGATTCAGCAGAAAACTTCTTCCTTCATTTTTGAGCTCCTGTGAAATTTGGGAACACCCTTAAAATGCCATGTAATGAACATACCATAACATTTCTGTGGAGGAATGAATGATTGTCTCCATTGAATGAATGCCCTGAACTTTCTTGCAAAAGAACAGGAAGGACATGATATTGTGCTGTGCTTGCTCAAGTCAAGAAGTGAAAACTTTAAATTGTTCCTGATAAGTGCCTAAAGTCAACAGAAACTCTCAGCAAGCTCTAGACACACAGCAGGCAGTTGACTGCACCGACACCTTCCTTCTGGTTAGGCAGTTTCTTTAGGAATCATTACTTCGCGGTCAGACATGTATTTGTCCCTGGAAAAATATTTGCTGATGTGAATGTGTTATGCAAGGCATCCGTCAGCTGTGAAAACAAAACCATCTGTCTGTGGGTCTCATTAGTTTTTATCAAAATCACTCAACCCATAAAACAAGTCATTTCAAATGCAGAGCTGCCTGGTTTTTCGATTTAATTTTGAATCAGGCCACTGCATGCGTTACTGGGACAGCTTTCATCACAGGCAGCGTGCTGAC